AGACAACCCGCCGCTTTCCTCCGGGCACTCTACCACCAAGGTTTGTGGGCTGAAGGCTATTCCTGCCTTTGCTCCAGCACAGAGAGCCAGGGTGTGTGGGAGTCCAACACATTTCTGTCTGGCCTTCTGTCCCTGAAGACATGGTTCTGTTTTGGCACTGTGTGGGAGGAGATATTTTCCTCTCTTACATGAGCAGATAGAGAGTGGGCTCTCTGAAGGGTTTAATACAGAGGCTTGTAAAGACCATCTCTGTTTGGAAAGCATGGATCTTGTTGATGTGCTGCTTGTAATGCAGAGCCCAGCTCGGTATGTGGAAGAGCAGCTGGGGTTATGCTTTGGTAGAGCCCAGAGGTCCCCACCCAGCTGCACTGAGTGACACGAGGTGCCTATGTGGGGCTAGAGATCGTCCCTTCTCTGATTTAACTGCAGTCTAACAAGGGTGATAGGGAAGCAAAGGCACAGAACAGGAAAGAGTAGGAATGACTTGTTGAAGGGCCCTCCCAGTAGCCGAAGTGGAAATGGAGCCCAGTTGCTGATTCTCAGTACTGTGTCCGGGGGATGACCACACTTTTCACCCCAGCAGTGTTGTCCCTGAGCCTGTGGCTTAATGTGATGTCTGGACAGAGAGTCAAGTGTTGTCCAGAGATGGCAAAAACTGCTCCAGTCTGCTTTAGCTGGAGAACATGCGGGCCTGAATCTCTGGCCCAGACTTATTTTTGTATGTAAGACAGTATTAAATAGAAGATGAGGAGGAACTTATAAACTCCAACTCCTAAAACACCACTTTGATCAGTGTTGATGCTGTTCAAGCTATAATGTCCACCTGACGCAGCGTCCTCTGGCCCCTGCTCCCTCCTTTTTGGTGTCAGTGTTGTGGCATTTAGCAAAACCAAGAGTCAGCAAAGTTAAGGCTCGTAGGCTGGGAGATGTGCCTCTCACTTCTGTCCTCATTTCCATTAAATAGAGTAAAGGAGATACCACTGGTCAGTCCATGCCATGCACCTTCTTTAAACCTAGGAGCTTAATCTGATGTCCCTGGAAGCAAAAAGTTTATATTCCACGTAGCAGTGTAGAAAGGCAGCGTGGCACATCCTGGCCCTGCATGCAGGAGGAGGGAGGTGCGTTGAAGGAGTCACTAGGATGTGCTGAAACATGGCTGCAGATAAACTAGTGAGGACATCTCTGGAAGAAATGAGCTCTGTACAAAGCACTGGTGGAGCTGCTGCTCTCTGCAGGTTCATCCTGAGCTGGGACACCAGCACTTGCTGGCTGCTGGGGCTACTCTTCTTGTTTTAAATAACCTGCAGGGCCTGGTTGGCAGATGTATGGAGGCTGGGTCAGAACAGAGTTTCTCCCGTCTGTGTCTCTTCCTGCAGTCTGTGCGTTTTCCAGGTTCTTGGTGGTAGTCACATCCCCGTGTTTCTCTGTTGTGGATTAGATGACACTCAGAAGAAGGTAACAGATGAAAAGGACCCCATGGTTCATCTGGAGAGTGTTTACCAAGAGCTGCTGAGCAAGAAGTGGCCTGAAGAAGTCCAGCCTACCAAGAGTGACCCATGCTTGTGCCCATCCCCAGCTCCGCAGGGGCCTGTGGCTGAGGAGTCATCACTTCCAGACCAGGAAGAGCAGGCAGAACAGGCAAGAAGTCCCAGCCTTCCTGCAACAAGGCCCCACCAGTCCCCTCCAAGGTCTGTGATTATCAAAGAGCCTGTAGAGTTTGTACCGGAAGAGGAGATCTGCAAGAACCGTCTCTCAGAGGAAGAACTCCGGAATATACCCAGGTTCTCATCCTACCATCCTGGGGAGCCCAACAAGGTATGTTGAGATGAACCAGGATTTATTCTTCCTCACTAGCATGCCCTGAAGCTGCTTCAGCAGGCAAAGGCTCCTCTTTGCTGTTGACTGGCTGTTGCCCCAAGGGTGCTTGGTTGATCCTCCTGGCCAAGGGAGGGACCTTTGGATCTATTCGGAAGTCGCCCGGCCTGGCAGAGCACTGTACTTCAGACCCCAGCCATTCCTGGCTCTGGCAGGTCACTTGTCAAGATGCCCTCTCCCTGTTTAAGCCTGACTGAGACCAGCTGTGACTTTACTCAATCTGTGCTTAACTGGTAGCTAGAGCTTGTTGCGTTTTATAAATAACTGGAGCTATCAGCACTTGGCACAGGCAAGCATGATGATGCCTTGAGTCCAGAGCTACCTTTCTCCGTGCACCTACCTGCCTTCCAAACTCCACCATTAGCGTGCATGTGGGAGAAAGACTCTGGGATGGCAGAGGGGCTGAACTAATTCACACCTTTGAGGTGTACGGACTTGGGACCAGGTTGAAAGATGTCTGTTTGCATGGCACAGGCCAGCTGACCCTCTGTCTCTCTGGAACAGGTGCTGTATTTGAAGAACCTGGGCCCTCGAGTGACAGTGAAGGACCTAGTGTCCTTGTTTGCTCGGTTCCAGAAGGAGGGCAGCCCACCGATCCAGTTCCGCCTCCTGAGTGGCCGGATGAGGGGTCAGGCTTTCATCACCTTCCCTGGTGAGTTGATGCCTTGTGCCTCTCAGTTCTTCCCTGACCCACAAAAGTGCCACATCTTCCCGCAGGGCACTGGGCTGGCGCCAAGCCTGCTCTCCAAGGAGAAGGAGGGGAGTTCACTCCCTCTTCTTCCTATCACGTCATAGTCTTTTCCCTGGACTGGAAGAGGATTCACCAAAACAGAAGGGATGCAGTCTGTTATGTGCTGTATTTGTATTCAGCACGTCACTCTGGCTGGAGGATCCCAGCACTGCACTGGACCACGGTGCAGGCTGAGGGTCCGTGAGCCAGGAACATCTGCGTGAACACCACGTGTGTCTGTGCCAGAACTTGCTGTGTAACCTGCGCCTGTTTTGCTCTCTTGTTGCAGATATTCAGTTGGCCCAGGACGCCATGCTGTTGGTGAATGGGTACAATCTGCAGGGGAAGCCACTGGTGATTGAATTTGGGAAAAGCAAGGGGCATTCCCCAGAGGCTGACTCTGCCATCCCCTGCTCCTCTGCTGGAGAGAACCCCCCTGCCAAGTAAGGGATGGATAACTGGGAACCTTGTGCGTGGGCCATGGGAACTCCTTGGTCATAACTGGGACAGTGAAGGACTGTTGGGAGTTAACATGCAGGTCCATAAATCTCGAAGTGGGGAAGGGAGAGAGCTGGGGACTAGGCTCTTCCTTGAGAGAGATGGGTGCTGTCTTTACACTGTTGGGGTGTACTGGCTTTTTCCTCCTGTTGTACGTGTGTGTCTGCCTTCTGAGCCCTTTCTGGCAAGGAGGGAGGAGGAAGCCATGTAAATAAATGTATTTATTATTTCCTTAGTGTGTGTTTATTCACCTTTGCCCTGCGCAAGTCTTCTAGAGCCAAGTGTGCTGCACTCTGCTGATGGGGGACTGTGTCAGCAGAGTTCTGTCCTGGCCTCTGCCCCGTCTCTGGTGGCAGCAGATATGTTGCTTTAGGACAAGCAAAAGGGCTGCCTCTTTTCTTCCAGACACTTTGGCTGCACAGGTATCTAATTACACAGATGCTTTATGATAACAAATGTGTCTTGGCTCCTCACTGTTGATCCCCATAAAGCCCTGTGGCATGGAGGATGGTTGCTTTGGTGGGGTACCATTGTGGCAGACGCCGTGGTTTAACTGCTGACCTATTTTAGTGCTTTTTGTGAACAAGGCAAGCTAATGTCATATGCTTCCCACAGTATCCCAGAGCTCCTGGGAGAGCAACATCCGAGCTCTTGGTGATGGTGGCTGAGGGAACCCAGGCTTTCCCAGCAGAGCCAAGTTGCAGGCCTCTTCTGCGTACCTAAATACAGCCATGCGGAGAAGAGGAATGTTCCCAAGAGCTGCTGTTTTTCTCCCTGCTGCCATCTCCTCCTCCAGGCTGCGTGACTCCCCTTGCGCCTGTCCTTCTGGTAAATGCACTTGCAACAGCGCACAGATATACCAATCCAGCCAAGGCTGCACCGGATCGACAGGAGGTGATTCTGGTTCAGAGCAAATTGAAAGAGAAAAGGGCTGCGGTGTCGCTGAGCACCACCTTTGCCCTGGCGCCAACAGGCTTTCAAGTTGCACCAGGGGCCGTTCAGGTTGGACATTAGGAAAAATTTCTTCACTGAAAGGGCTGTCAGGCACTGGCACAGGCTGCCCAGGGAAGTGGTTGAGTCCCCATCCCTGGAGGTATTAAAAAGACGGGTAGATGTGGTGCTTAGGGACGTGGTTTAGTGGTGGACTTGGCAGTGCTGAGTTAACAGTTGGACTCGATGATCTTAAGGGTCTTTTCCAACCTTAATGATTCTATGTTTCTATTCTAAGCTCCAGAGGAGCTGGTGTTGCCGTGGGGTGGTTCTGGGCCCCAGAGCTGTAACCAGACCACACTGCCTGCCCTGTCCTGGCAGGAGAGTGGGGCAATGGCAGAGATGGGCCCCCGGGGCTGCTTTCAACCCCGTCCCCGGGAGAGTCGCCCAGGCCTGTCTGGACCTACGCGCCCCTGGAGCTCCGTGCCCTGGGCTGAGGCTGCTGCCGGCCACTCGTCCAGGCTGGGGTTTGCTGGCACAAGCCCTGCCAGCCCGGCCCGAGGACTGCAGCCGCCGCCGGGCTCTGGTTTCTGGCACCTTCAC